AGTGTACATGACGTTGGCTTATAGCCTACATAATGATATGTACATAAAAGTGTACATGTAGGTACCAGTCGTGTACAGTGAGATTAAAAACGCAACTGCTTTTTCCCATGATGAGTTATTGCCATTACTATCTTTAAACCAAGTATGCATAAAATATAATTTTGTCAGTTCCTTTTTGGATAGCTGCAAATGATCTACTCTTCCTTTAATTACATTTGGCAAGCAAGTTCCTGGTCTTATTCAGGAGTTTTACCTTCATCAGCCGGTCAGTATAGAGTACCAAAGTCTGACGTCAGCTGAATTTGTTCTGATTCACGCGCTGGTTTGTGCGCGGATGTCTCCACACACTTTAGCTATGCGCGAGACCCAGAATACGCGGCACACTTCGGTACTCTATGCTCTTTGAGGTATGGTGGACCCAACTCGAGGGCGCTAACCTAGTTAGTCTTGGTAAACTCTTTTGTATTTACCCAAATTTTACCAAGACCATAAAGCATCCACCTGATGTGTCCGTCTTGTCTCATTAAGGCTAATATTGTCTACACGTGGTTTTTAAACTATATATATATAGATTGAAGGTGCTCCATTTTAATGGACCTAAGGTTTCAAAATTTCAAAATTTCTTATATCTCACCCACAGATTCTATCTTTGGCATTCACTATTTTTACTGTCTTGCCACGTGCACATGTGGCAGGGCCAAGTTGCACTTGTGATTTTTCATAGTGTATTAAAAAAGAGTAGCCCCCCCCCCCCCCCTTAGAAAAGAAAATCATTTTGGTCGAAGTTTAGATGCCCCCCCCCCTTTCTTGGAAGTGTGTCCCCCTGTTCGTTTACTTTAGCAAACATGTTCCTCCTATAAAAGCCTCCCCATGATAGACCCTCATTTAATTTAGTTCAGCAGACCAGCAGAGAGACAAGTTAACATTTTAGTCTTTTATTTTCCTCCTACCTGGAGAGTGGTTTCCCTGCTTGGGTTTGTTTGCTTGTCCATTCATTGTTTTTTTTAGTTCATTTTGTGCTTTTAGAATGATTTTCCAATAGTGCTATGTGGTTTTTTTTGGTTCCCTTGGTTTATATTTTTTTCTATCAATCCATTTTTTTACACCTTAGTTTTTTTTCTTATTCTCCTAAAATTTTATCCAAGTGTTTATTTTTCTCCTTGGCAAATTCCTTTTTGAGTTTTTCTATTCGTTGTTTGATCCAGATTGAGAGTTCTTTTGAAGTATTTGAGTAAAATGTCTTTTTATTTAAGGATTTAAATTGTTTTTTTTGCAGGTGAAAGATTTTTTTGTTATGAGACTAATTAAATTTTTGAGAAGTTTATTTTGTTTCATTGATTCCTTTTCTTCTTTGTCCCAGTTTCTAAAAGTAAATGACGACCTAATCATTTGAACCATGATTTTTAGTGAGCCATTTTTTTTGCCGTTACAGCAGCCAAAAAGACAATACAATGACTAAAAAGACTGTTCAAGGCTGACAAAGTACTATGTACTTAGCAACCAACATAGCAACAGCATTGTATGCACATACATATTATAGGTTTTACATGTTGCACGTTTTGTTCCCACGCGCTTCAAAGTTAGGGTCAAACATTTCACGAAGGGGTAGTATTGCAAACGTGCAAGGAAATGTTCAATTACTTACATACTGAAATAGAAGTACATTTTTATGAGATTTCAGTAAAATTAATCAGTTATCTCTCAAAAGCAAGCAGAATCTGTGGGTGGGGCATTATCAAACAAATATTGACTGCTTTAAACTTGTAGTGAACTAGCCTCCCTCGGTGATCCATGGAGCATTCCACCTCCCTGGGTGTCACCTCAGGAATAAAGAACGCTGAATGGATCATCTCAGGCGGCTAGTTTTACCACACCAACAGTCATTTAGGAATTTTTCCCATTTGAAGCAACAAAAGTGCTCAAAATCTAAAGACAGGTGCTTAATAACAAACTTGATGATGTTTTAGCTCTGTGAATGCTGTGTATTCCGAGGAAACAATATTCTAGGATCTCAATTTCAATTCAAAAACTGCCAGGTCATATTTTGAATTGCGCCCAAAATCAGCATCTGCCGAGGCAAGTTCTCATTCAGCTGATTGCAGCTATGTGATGTCACACGATAACCCATGAATGATAGCAACCTCGCACGTGTGTGTGTCGTGTCAATGCTTGTGCGCATCCATTCACAGATTTACCAAATTACAAACCAACTACTAACGGAAATTTCCAGAAATGTGTCATTCCAGGACACCTTCTTATTCAACAAATTGCCGCAGAGCTATGCATGTCAAACATTGAACTGACAAATGATAGCAATGGCGTGCGCGTGTGCATCGTGTAAAATGCTTGCGCGCACCAATTCACGGATTCGCCCAATTACAAACCAACTACTAACGGAAATTTCCAAAAATGTGTCATTTGACACATTTTTGGAAATGGCCTTCTTTTATCGTTGTCTTCACAATAACAGCGCAATGTCAGAGAAAGAATAATGCCACAGGCTGTCCTACCAGTTGTACTAAGGGTTGCTTTTCTGCTTTTTATTTTTGCTGTAATGACCCTACTTGGGTCTCGATCATTTGTGCCTGGACTCTGATGTTCTTTAAATAATGGGCTATTGTTGTGTCCAGGATTTAACAAAAAGCCAAGCCACCTTACCCCTACCAAGTGCTTTTTTTCTTACTAAAACTGGTAACAGTCACTTCAATAATACGCATGCGTGAAACATTGGGTATATATTTCCTGATTTTTAACTTTATATCGTGGATACTTTAACACATCCTCGTTTCCAGTTCTTATTTTTAACCCTCCTTTTTCCATTTTCATATCTTTCAAAATATAAAATCGTATTGGTATGCATCTTAACATGTATACATGCGTCAGGAGTTATAAAAACACATGCAGTGGTGATATTTGTGCAATGTCCGTTTTGTGCTTCCGTAGACAGAGCTAGGTTGCCAACGCCATTGGCATTTTCAGTGCTTGTTTGTATATTCATATGTGGGCCTATATGCAGTGTTGATATTTGTGCAATGTCCATTTTGTGCTTCCGTAGACAGAGTTGCCTGTTTGAACTGTAACCTTGAATCAATAGCATTTTCAGTGCTTGTTCGTATGTGGGCCTTGAACTTGAATAAAGACCATGATCATAGTGTTCCTTTGTTATGGCACTGTGTGACACAAATAGCGACTGTTTTTTCTTGTGTTGGGTAAAGGAATTTAGCTGTTGTTGCACCATTCATTGCATGAGGATAAAGTATAGGCCTGACATGTACACATTATAAGCCTAAGGCTTACAACTTACAAGTTCACTAGTTTTGCCATACTTTTTTTTTTACATTTGGCGAAAGTATTATGTTTGTGGTGGAAAACTTTGGCTAACTGTTGATCCAGTTGAAGTAGGTGAGTTCATTAGGGCCTACATACAGCATTTTGGCTGGATTTTGCACGAGTCTTTTCTTTTCGTGAGTAATTCACTTTGTTTTTGAACATGTTAAATATAGCCTATAGGCCTACCAGGAAAATTATGCATGAGATTAGAAGGAATGTTTAGCATTTCAGTCAATGTGATGAGTGAGTAGATGGTGTTCCTTCCCACCAAACATTTGAAATAAACATGATGCTTTTACTTTTTTAGAGAAAAACATATTGAATTCTCTTTTCTGCAGAGATGAAACTTTTCCGATTTTAATCGGAAAACCGACTTTTTGAATTTTCCAACGAAATTTCTGATTTTTTTACAGTGTGTCCCACAAAATTTGATTTTCTGATGATTTTTTCACAAAATGTCATTTTATTTCAATCATAATTTCGAAGAAAGTCGATGGAAATGGCGTGCTAAAATCATCGCGAACGTAGTTTTAATCTCTTTCACCAGTCGTTATTGGAGAGTTTCAACGGTAGAAACACAGGGCATAACACTGATCGGAGCCTTCTCCGGCTGGACAAAAGGTTAAACATTGACAGGCGACATGGAAAAATCACTGTGTCGCACGTGCGTGCGAATATGCAATGGTACCAGCGTGCGTACGTACCGCACCACCGTACCGTCCGCTAGCACATGGCCGGCCGGGACGGGTAGCCTTGTGAAGGATCCTGTGGATAAAATCATTATGTTGTGCGATTTTCGGAGGTTTCAGATTCAGTTGTACAAAATGCAATGCTTTAAAAATCATGATGAATATCTCGAGGATAGCGAAGAGAGCATTAGCGAAACATTTCACTGGCATTTGTTGGAAGAGAAAGACGGTAATGCCTGATTTTTTTCCCATGCATGAATGCAAGTGGTTGAATCATGGACATGATTGAAGCACCATGAACGGTGCCCTTGTCTTTCGGACTTTTCCCTCGACTTTCTCAAGTAAGAAGTGAACTTCTTTATTGATGACTCCATTACTCTAACCGTAATTCAGGCATTTTATGCAATGAAAATGCTGACCATTTTTTTTTTCATCGTAAAATTTTGTTTGAATAAAAAATAAAGCAGGAGTTGGTGTCCGGAAATTGGGCATGAAGTGTATTGTACATGCATGTATATGTGTGTAATGGCAGCGCGGCCCAGATTTCGGACACGTATTTTTGTTCGGCCTTTTTTCCGATTTTTTTGCCACATGCCAGTTTCATCTCTGTTTTCTGAGTCGAAGTCTGAAATGTAAGTGTTTATCTTTGGTCCTGTTTTACATATTAGGGCCTATACTCCCATTTTATTATTTCTAACTCCCAATGAGTTAGCATGCAGTCAATGTATACAAATGAATCTCCTGTTACATTTAGATTTCCAGGCTGGTACGGTGTGCGGTAAAAGAAATGTGGGCATAGGGGTGTGCACTTACGGGCAGTAAAGGAACCGGGTACCCTATTGAAAAAAATACGGGTACCCAGGTACCCGTTAAAGAAACCCAAGCCAAACATTCAAATCTGGGAAGTTGCTGTTCAGATTGTTCATAAAGGTCCGCATGATAGTACTAGACTACCGCATCGTTGCGACAATACGGCTAGATAGGGTGTATACATGTGCTCTGTAGCTATGTGGTGAAAACTACAACTTTCGCAAGCATCATAAAACGTGAAATTGGTTTTGGTTTTCCATGTATCCTGTTCTTTATTTTGAAATGTTCCCACTGACATTCAAAACACTATTTCATTGACTGAAAAGTTACCAAGTAATTTGCAAAGTTGGTTATGGGTACTCGATTCCATAATCTGGAACTGGTTCCTGACATTAACGGTCGGGTACTCGGGTACCCGGCTCTGATGCACAGCTCTATGGGGCAATCACTTGTTTGTTATAATTTTGAGCTTTTTCAGACACGGGTTTGTTCTGTTTTGATCAGGTCACATCTGAAATATGGCGGAGGCTGCAGCCAGAACTGTCTTGGACAAGATCAGCCAGGGACATCTGGAATGTCCGATCTGTTGCTGTCGTTTCAAGGATCCCAAGATGCTGGACTGTCTGCACAGCTTTTGTCTGAAGTGTCTGGAAGAGATGATGAGCAAACAGAAGCCAGGGGCAGAGAAGATAACATGTCCAGTCTGCAGGAGAGAGACGCAAGTTCCTGATGGAGGATTGCAGAGTCTTTCTTCGTCTTTCTTTCTTAGTTCTCTTGTCGATGAGGTCAAACAACAGGAGGCAGTATTAGGAGATGCATCGGCACCTACCGCCACATGTGACTGCGGAGAAGGCAAGGAGGTCATTTGGAGGTGTCTTGATTGTAGTGATAACCTCTGCCAGGAATGCCGGAAAGCCCATGAGAGGGTCAAGTCCACCAAAGACCATCGAATCATCTCATTGGGAGATTGGCACAAATCTAAGATCCCTCCAGCAGAACACAGCAAACCCATCACCCGAATGTGTACGATCCACCATGACCATCCTCTGTGTTTCTTCTGTGACACATGCGACACCTTAATCTGCTCAATGTGTGCCGCATTAGGTCATCGGTCGGCAGAGCACAATTTCCTAAACATTGATGACCTGATCAGGTCCTTCCGCAGTGAGGTCGAAAACATACTGCAGAAGTTCGAGAAGAGCAGGCAGCACTTCAAATCTACTGAAAAGTCAATCCAACATGCACAAAATAGATTACAAAAGAAACTGGCTCAGGCTCGTAGTGATATTGATGCAAAAGCGGAGGCAGAGATCACTAAAATCAGAAACAAAGCAAAGCTTCTCACCGACAAGGTCAACGAAATCGGTCAGGAGAGAGTCAGTAAGTACGAAAAGGCGCTCACGCATAACCATGAGCAGATGGAACGCGCAGATCAGACCATCGCGGCAGTAAATGACTTGATGAGTCAAGCCGATGATTTTGAGCTTTTGGAGCTCAAGCCAAAGGTGATGCACAACTTGGAATTCCAGGAGCTCAAGTGTGAACCGGCGAATTATGGTCTGTCATTCATTGGTGTCAGATTTCAAGACGTTGTGAGTGATGCAGATCTTGGGGAGGTCTGTGTCAGTGAGAAATGGCAGTTAAAGGAAGAGTTCGGCAAAAGAGGTACCGGTGACGAGGAATTTGACTTCGCCACGGCTGTTGCATGTTTCAGAAATGGAGACATCGTAGTAACTGACACAATTTTAAAACGGTTATCGTTGTTTAGCTCAACTGGTCAGTATAAAACATCGGTCGCTCAGGGAGATGCTAAGCATCAGTTGGAAGCTCCTTTTGGCGCTGCCATGACCCATGATGATCTGCTTTTCGTCACGGACAAAAAGAAAGTGAAGGTTTTTGACAATGAGCTCCAGTTTGTTCGCGAGTTTACGCCTTCGGCTGACGATGCGGATGGGCAATCAGAGAGTTACCTCACTGGTGTTGCTGTTGACAGTCAACGAGTAGCAGTCGCTGACAGGGGGAGAAAGCTCATCAGTGTCCACAACCTGGACGGATCATTGATTTCAAGTATCTTGAATAGCATGGTTGACTATTACTTGGCAATAAGCAATTTTGGCTGTTTAGTCTTCGCAAACTTCGAGGGCCAAAGTTTTTTTTGCGTTAACTTTGAAGGTAAAGAGATGTTTAGTGTCAAGACATTCGTGAATGGCAAAGCTGCTAAGCCAGCTGGTGTCCTGTGCGATGATGATGAGACCATCTATGTTGTTGTTCATCCTGGAAAAAGGGAAGACTCTGAAGTGCAGCGATACGATTCAAATGGTGCACTTGTAGCAACGGTAGCTCAAGGGTTGTTCAATCCGTTAGGAATGGTATTCACCCCCGCTGGCGACGTAGTTGTTGCTGACCTACACTCTGTTAAGATCTTTGAGCGGATGTGATTTGCCTGATGGCCCTCCGAAAAACTAACTGCTATATTTGAACCGGGGTTAACCTGCATCTGATGATTTGCTTTACAAGGCCTAGCAGAACATGACCTGTTGTAGTTGAACCAGCTACATTCATGAAATTATAATATTTACTCAGATTGTAAAACCCGTTTGAAATTGAGTTAACTGGTAACGTTGGTGTGTTTCAGTTAATCTCCCTCAATGCATTTTGGCATGTGCGTTGGCCTGGGTAGGCCTACACCGCGTTATGGGGACGTTTTTTATTGTTAGGCGAATTAGGACCGAGTTATGGGGACTTTCTGCTGGTCCCACATGTTTTCGGTCCCAACAAATGTGTGAGTAGGTCTATGGTGTACTCTCCAGTAATAATGTATCGGAAAAAGAGAAATCCAATCATCAACAGTGTAGAAAGAGAAAAAGCGTTCAATGTTTCTTGATCCGTAGAACAGTTTTTGCTGACAAACTATTTTAAGATTGAAGGGACCGTAAATTCACAAAATTAACTTTACTACTGTAATGTCGTAAAAAAATCACTGTATTTAATGTTATAATAATAAAAAAGTCCATAACTTTTATGTCACGTAATATGAAATGTCTTAACTCTTAATGAAGCAAATTTCGCCAATCTTCATTTTGTAAAAGTACATTGTATATGTAACATAATGGCATGAGACTAAGTAAATATTCAATTCAAAGCTTTGTAAATTTTGCATGTTTTGTTAATTCCTTGGATCACAAAACTGACGACCATCACACAAAACATTTGTGCAATGTCCATTTTGTGCTTCCGTAGTTAACGCGGGCAGACTGCATGTTTGAACTCTGAACTTGAATTAAGAGCAGCGTTGTAGTACTCGTACTCATACTTGAATGCCAAAGTACTCGTACTCGAAATGACGGTACTTGTACTCGGGCAGCAAAGTACTCATACTTGACATGATGAATTTTTACTTGCTTATCAAAGTACTCGTACTTGAATAGCAGTACTAAAAAAAAATGGTATAGATTGACTTACCACGGCCTTATTTTATTATCGATATTTTCAGTTGGAAATGTTTGATTTACTTGCAGAGACATCAAAGTTTGCTGATTTTTTTCTGTGTACGTCCGGACAAACACATTTAACAGCTAGCTGTGAGTGGGTCTGTATATCGGTCTGACTGGGCCTGGGACAATTATGCACAATGAACCATGGCCGTATGGCTGTATTGGAAATAGAAGTACTCGTACTCGGAATACAAGTACTTGTACTCGTACTTAGAAGTACAAATACTCGTACTTAGAGACCTGAACTTGTACTCAGAAGAAAAAGTACTTGTACTCAGAAGAAAAAGTACTTGTACTCAGTAACTTAAGGACTGGGCAGTACTCGGTACTTGGAAAAAAATACTCAACTACAATACTGATCAATAGCGTTTGTATCGTTGGTACTGGAACAGTTATGTATGACATTGGCTTTTTTTCCCCTTGGTTAAATTTTTTTCTGTCAATCCATTTTTTAATACCTTAGTTGTTAATATTCTCCTAAAATTTAATCCAATTGTTAATTTGTTAATGACAAATTCCTTTTTGAGTTTTTAATTCGTTGTTTGATCCAGATTGAGATTTCTTTTAAACTAGTTTGTTCATTCAGGATTTTAATTTATTTTTTTGAATGTGAAGGATATTCTTTAATAAGACTTAATTACATTTTTGAGAAGTTTATTTTGTTTCCTTGATTTTCTATCTTTTTTGTCCCAGTTTCTAAAAGTAAATTGCAACCTAATCATTTCAACCAGTTGTTTTCTTAGCCTTTTTTTCCCCGTTACACACAGCCCAAAAGACAATACAACCACTAAAAAGACTATTCAAGGCTGACAAAGTTCTATGCACGTAGCAACCAACATAGCAACAGCAGTGTATGCATATTATGGGTTTTGCATGTTGGGCGTTTTGTTCCAACACTTAATGAAGGGGTAGTTTGAAAAAGTACGAGGAAATTTTCAATTACTTTCATATTGAAATTGAGGTACGTTTTTATGACATTTCGGGTAAATTATTCAGTTATCTAGCAAAAACAAGTAGTATCTGTGGATGGGGCATAAAAAAACCAAATACTGACTGCTTTTAACTGATAGCGTAGTAAAACTAGCCTCCCTCTGTGATCCATGGAGCATTCAATTTCCCTGGGTATTACCTCGGGAATAAAGAACGCTGCATGGATCATCTCAGGAGGCTAGTTTTATCACAACAACCAAAGTAGTAAATACTTCTTTTAAGTTCGAGCATTTAAACAGTTATAGTTGGTCAATCAAATATAAGGTGCATTCGAGTAGCTCACCCGGATCAACTCGGCTAAAGGCAGACTGATTTTGAAACGCTCAAATGCAGAATGCAGGCCATCACGATCCTCACGTGACGTCTGTAGCCCCGGCCGTAGCCACTGACAAAATGCCCTTTTCAAACTGAGTTTTTTCTTCAGATTTACTGCTTTTCCGTCAATTGAAATAAGTAAAAATGCTAAGCTGGAATTATAGCCTCTAAAATCGCAATGAGATCAATAAATAATTATGTTTCAACTTCAAATAAAGTTGATGTTTAGGTCCTCTTCGCCATTTGTACGTTTCTACGGAATGAACAACGCATGCGTGTGACGTATCTCCACCACTGACTCTGCTCCACGAGCAGGGTCTGTGGTGGCTGACCCGGGTGAGCCCTGAGAATGACGTCAGAGCTAATCAAACGGCACAGGGCTAATCCGAGTCGACCCGGGTGAGCTAATTGAACGAACCCTAAGAAAGGATCTACGCAATCAAAATAAATGCCATACCTTCATGGCAACCAGTCCTCTCTCTACTAGATTGTATCCTCCAAGTTCTTCCAGTACCTGTCTGCATTCAGGACTCACATGAATCTTGAGCACTGTTAAATTGATGGGGTGAGGGAAAATAAATATTTCGGCTCACATATATAAAATATCATGAACATTTTCCATGAATAATTGAAGTTGGGTTATACCACAGAGCTATAATAAATTATTAGAGCACTAACTCGCTGTACAAATGAAGCCTGCATGGCCCAAATTTATGGTTCTGCTTACCACAAAATTCCACGCTTACGATCATCATTTTGTGCTCACCACGCTAGCACAATTCTGCACTAACCTTATAAGCACAGAATCCTAGTACAGGACATACGCATGCGCACAAGCCAAAATTCCTCGCTAACCCGTGAAATACGCTTATCGCCAGCAGGGAATTTTATAGTAAGCACAGATTTTTGCTAACGGTATTAGAGCCATGAAATTGAGCCCAGTTGGGCGCATCCATATTTGTGCACAAACCTAGGAAAACTCGAAATTTAGTATGGCTTTAGTACGGCTATTTGCATATCTGCATTTGTATTCTATTACCAGTGCGTTATCAAAGCCGATACGCCCATAACCAAAAAGCACAATTAGTACATGAGCGTTTCATTTTGCTCTGCGTCAATCTACGCAAACTCAAACTCATAGGCGCTGCAGATGACATTTGCCGTAACATTTTTTTACCGTCATACTCACAGAAAACGCACTTATGTTGTTCGCGTAATGTACTTGCGCCTTGCCTTTTAATAGAGCACATTATCCGAAATCCATTCCGTGTGATTTCATTATGTTCCACAAACACGCACATGAATTCAAAATGTCTGCGCCCAGGACGGCTTAAAAGTATCGTGCATGGGGTCCACAGCGCCAATGGAATGAAGTTTTCCAACATGAGGTGAGGCTGGTTCACACTTCATGCTTAATTACGTTTGTGCGTTTACTTTCTCGAATCCATATATCAGCATAATTAGAGTTGTCTTGTGTAACAAGATTCTATTTACCGAGTCCATTAGACTCCATACGAGACGCTGTGTTGACCGTGTCACCAAAGAGGCAATACCGAGGCATGGTCAGGCCAACTACACCCGCCACACAAGATCCTTGAAAAAAGTCCAAAACAATTAAGAAATCGTCATACATATACATGTGATTTACTTGTGACTGGACTTGTGATGTACTTGTGACTTGACTTGTGATGCACTTGTGACTAGCCTTGTGATAAACAATTAAGAAATCGTCATACATACACAACATTTTCAAGCACAAATAGCGTGAGCAGAGCTTGAAGTTATGATCCACTTGTGACTGGACTTGAGATGTACTTGAAACTGGACTTGTTACGTACTACCTTGTGACTAGACTTGTGATGTACTTGTGACTGGACTTGTGATGTACTTGTGACTAGACTTGTGACTAGGCAAATGATGTACTTGTGACCGGACTTGTGATGTACTTGTGACTGGACTTGTGATGTACTTGTGACTGGACTTGTGATGTACTTGTGACTGGACTTGTGATGAACTTGTGACTATAGACTTGTGATGTACTTGTGACTGGACTTGTGATGTACTTGTGACTGGACTTGTGACTAGGCTTATGATGTACTTGTGACCAGACTTGTGATGTTCTTGTGACTGGACTTGTGATGAACTTGTGACTATAGACTTGTGATGATTTTGTGACTATAGACTTGTGATGTACTTGTGACTAGACTTGTGATGTACTTGTGACTAGACTTGTGATGTACCTGAAACTGGACTTGTGATGCACTTGTGACTGGACTTGTGATTTACTTGTGACTGGACTTGTGATGTTCTTGTGACTGGACTTGTGATGTACTTGTGACTAGACTTGTGATGAACTTGTGACTATAGACTTGTGATGATTTTGTGACTATAGACTTGTGATGTACTTGTGACTAGACTTGTGATGTACTTGTGACTAGACTTGTGATGTACCTGAAACTGGACTTGTGATGCACTTGTGACTGGACTTGTGATTTACTTGTGACTGGACTTGTGATGTACTTGTGACTTGACTTGTGATGCACTTGTGACTAGCCTTGTGATAAACAATTGAGAAATCGTCATACATACACAACATTTTCAAGCACAAATAGCAAGAGCAGAGCTTGAAGTTATGATCCACTTGTGACTGGACTTGAGATGTACTTGAAACTGGACTTGTAACGTACTACCTTGTGACTAGACTTGTGATGTACTTGTTACTGGACTTGTGATGTACTTGTGACTATAGACTTGTGATGTAGTTGCGATCCATCATGAGTACCTCTACCACAAGCAAAGACAACGATCTTACCTGAGTGAATACCGATTCGGAGTTTGAGTTTCTCCTCTTGTTTGTGCGGCACGATGAAACTACTAAAGCCCTCCAGCAGATGCCATGCAGCCGAGGCGATCATACCGGCATGACGGTTGCCATTACAGAGCGGTAGGCCGGAGACCAGCATGTAGGCATCACCAATGGTTTCAACCTTTGTAAGATGTTATCATTTATTATTGGTTAGTTTTGCTTTCAGATATAATAGAAAACATGTTTACATCTTTTTTTTGTCTTAATGTAACTTGGAACTATTAGCTAATAGCACATTTTAACATCCTGTGATTTAAATTTTGTTGCAAGTTTGGTTTTAAACAATCTGCTGGGTTATATGAAATATTTACCTTGTAGACGTCATAGTTGGAAATGATGGCGTCGAACAGCGTGTACAAGGCATTCAACAAGTTAACGACCTGGCAAGTTGAGAACAAGACGTTAATGGTGAAAATGAGGGATAGGTTTGGTTTGCAGTAATTTGAGATGACAATTTGAAAAATTTTGAATACACTAAGCCGCTTTTCAATTTGGTTTGTATATCGGTACCTATAAAACTATACATGCAACTATATTTATGCAATGGACGATGAAAAGGCATATATGAAAAGGTGGTATAAGAATAAATTTAGACCTTTAAGTCAAAACCATAGACGAAATTGCCACACAATTGAAGCCCCAAATCTAACTGAAGAAATCTCAAGTATCTCATACATGTACTTGGCCTTAAAGCTACAGTCCATCATTTGCAGCTATCCAAAAAGTAACTGATGTAATTATTATTAGAGTCATTTTAAAGAAGTGACTCGAGTCGAGTCGAGTCATTAGGTCAAGAAGGTCGAGTCGAGTCGAATCGAGTCAAATATTTAGCTCGAGTCAAATCGAGTCACGAATATTTTAACACTATTTACCAAAATGTATAAAAGGAGGGCATAACTTTAGCCGGCGTTCAAATCCGAGAGGCTTATAAGAAATCGCCCTAAGCCAATGATGAAACAACGAATTGGAAAATAAATCTGGTTCCTGAATAGTATTTTGTGCGTTCCAGAACCATAAGGTGGGAGTCTGTGACACGTTGTTTGTAAATGAACATAAAATTCGCACCGTAAGTCATTGCAAATACTTTTCGCAAAAGTTTGCTTTTAATTTTGGGACTCGAGTCTTATTAGCCTTCGCTCGAGTCGAGTCGAGTCTTTTGATGAGGGACTCGAGTCGAGTCGAGTCATTTGCTTGCAGTGACTCGAGTCGAGTCGAGTCATTTACCCATAGGGACTCGAGTCGAGTCGAGTCACCAAAAATTTGACTCGAGTCGGACTCGAGTCGAGTCATTGACTCGAGTCATTACAACTCTGATTTGAATGGAAAAGGGCAGTCTTTACAAAATATTGGGTTGTTTATATCCCCCTTACCCCCCCCCCCTCCCCACCCCACTGGCTACGCCCATGATTGGCCAACAGCTCTCCACAATGTCCCTTCCAGTGGTCTTCCCCAACTTTCCCTTTATAACCGTCGAGGGGTACCTGTGCACAAAGTCTATAGGCTGCGGCTGGCATGTGTTTTGAATTTCTGCTGCAGCCAGGCTTCTTGTCAAACTTCATCAGGGGGGTAAGATTTTGGTGGAACGGAGGTTGAAAACCTGACACAAATACAGTGCGAGTCCAAAAAAGCGGAATCCAAACCCCAAAATGATATTTCATAATTAAAAAAACTAGTGCAGTTCCCGTCTAAAATGTGCATGTTCGGGAAGCGCAAATTGCTTTGCCGCTGGTATTGGTTGCATGCTTGCAGAGTTTTTGAGAACAACTCATGCGAACAATGCACGCGATTCAATGGTGTTGTTTTGACAGGTTGAACGCACACTCATGTCAAAGCTTGTGCCAAGTTTGAAGTTGTTTGGGCGATTGCTTCTCGCAAAAGCTGCAGATATTCACCCCTACTGGACAATGGTATCGCCCTGCCGTAAGGTTGCTCAGTAGACCGCCTACAATGGTCGCTCAGTCAACTGCAAAAAATAATGTTCCTGTGCAGCCACCACGTACGTGTACATACGGAAACATATGGTATGCAGTGCTATTCACCCATACTGGACAATGGTATCGCCCTACAATGCATGTGCCCATACTGGACAATGGTATCGCCCTACAATGCATGTGCACTTCCTTTTTCCAGTGTTGCGTCATATTGAGCACACACGCTTTCACTTAACCCTAAAAGGGGCGGGGCGGGGGGGGCGGGGCGGAATCCCCGTCAACCTTTTCCCGCGATAACCTTGAAAAATTTTTTTTTCCCAACCGGAGTTGTTATGACTTTTAGCCTCGAGCCTTGCGTATCTTTTGATACCAAAAACATAAAAATCGGACCACAGGTTGCCGCGCAGCGAGAATTTCCCCGTATACGTCGTGTACACAGAGCAGAATTGCTTTTCGTACTCACGAATAATTAATTAGCCATAATTCCAAAACCCTTTGACCTATCGTCATCAAATTTCTTGGGTATGTTTATGAAGAGTTTTCTATGCATGTACCGAGTTTCAAAATTTTTCGTCACCCGAAGGCCGAGATCTTGGGGGGGGGGGGGGGGATGGCTGAGAGATGGTCAAAATAACCCGGCACTTTTAGGGTTAAACATGACGTAAACAATTGAAAATGATATGGCAGTGTGCGCGTGCTGGTCTAGGCTATAAATACTGCCGCATTTGCCTCAGAAAATGTTGCTTTTTGCAGCTTTTTCGAGAACCGCTCATCCAAACAAATTCAAACTTGGCACTGCACACTCTGGAGTCCTGAGCAATACACCCGCTGATTTTCAACTTCATACGCTGCCCAGTTCTGAAGATAATCAAAATACAGACAGACAGAGATTTCCGGAATTATAGTTAGATATACAACATTTTTCTTTTGCTGTAATTTTCAGAAATGGATGGATTGGGGGGTTAGTATTTTATAGCAAATATTGTTACACTGACCTGTTTAAAGTTTTGTGTTCATTGATGCTGGGGGGAAAAACAAAAAAAATGCTGTTCTTGTAGTCTGGTTCCCTGACCCTACTTTATATGAAACGGACCAATTTATAGATGTCAAGGAATTTTCAGGTCAGGGAACCAGACTAGCTGGCTTGTGGACTAACTAAATTTGGTGAATTAGGGGCAGTATTTAAAAAAAAAAATGTCGACCATCGTTGGAAAGGGATTCAAAAATTCCACTTTTCTTAAAAATGACATCTCGCCTAAATGGTTTCATAGGATGCTTGAGAGAATATTATTCACTTTCAGTCAAGTTAGGTATTTCATAATAATTTGGCAGTTTTGTGTTTGGATGTTTGCAAATGATGTATATTACCTTTAATTTAATTTCATCATGCTATTAAGTTTGTAAGTTTTTTTGACTTACGTATCTGCTAGTTCCGAAGAATGGAGCGAGTTGAACAGTATCCTTGACGTCCCACACCCAGTCCTTGTAGTTGTACACATAGGTCTTCTTGCCGGCCGGGTCTTAGGCGAAGATCATGACCGCCTCTTATGCCTTAGTGGCCTTCTCGTCTTCATAGGTACCCCAGCCGAGAACTATGACAAACAAAATCCCACAAGGACAAAAGACAACAACCGTACAATAATTAACGGCAATACTACAAGAGTTCGAAGTTTTGGCGATCGTGTAGCTTGAGAAACTCTAGCTTGGGAAACCCCCTAGCTTGAGTAACTCCAGCTCCAATGCTCATCAGGAATTCGACATAGAGCTAGAGCTAAAACTATGTTGTAGATACTAGACTCTAAGAGGCTTTAACAAACGGGACTCTCTGTATCTGTATCACGAAAAAAATCCCAACCCAGATTCCATTCAACACAATGAGGTTTGTTAAATGAAATCTGCATTAATAATTAATAATAATAATAATGGGTTGGGAAACTAGAGGGAAAAAAGGACCATTTTTGTGATACAGATGCAGAGAGGCCCGCTTCTATAGGTATACATGCTTGACTCGTCATCAGTACCTCTAGGGGCGACGTTAGTGATCGCCCCTAGGGGTATACGTGCTCGAATTGTCATCTGTACCTCTATGGACTATTTTTAATGATCGCCCCTATGTTTGAATCGTCATCTCTACCTCTACGGGCGACTATTAATGGTCGCCCCTAGAGGTATACATGCTCGACACGTCATCAGTACCTCTACGGGCGACTATTAATATCCTAATATCCCTAATATCCTTTTTAAAAAGCTTATCTGTCCAGAAATCAAATTAGAATGCGTTCTAGGGTCCTTCAGGCATCTTTCCAGCAAATTTGAAGCAATTTCATTTTTTTTGGCCATTTTAACGCTTTCGGGCAAAAATCATCAAGTTTTGGAGAAAAACAACATTTTTTGACTGATTTTACGGCAAATTTCTGTCAAATTATCCTTTTTAAAAGCTTTTCTGTCCAGAAATCGAATTAAAATGTATTCTAGTGTCCTTTAGGCATCTTTCCTGCCAATTTGAAGCAATTTCATTTTTTGGCCCAAATTGAAAAAAGCAACACTTTTTAAAATGAAATTTGGCCAAAAAAATGACTTTTCTCCAAACTATGCAGAAATTATTTTAGAGGTTAGAGGAGCATCAATTAACATTCAAACAACCAATAATTATATTAAAGATTTTGGGCAAAAATCGTCAATTTTTTGAGAAAAACAATAAAATTTTTAACTGATTTCCCTGCAAACTTTGTCAAAGTATCCTTTTTAAAAGCTGATCTTCACAGAAATCGAATTGGAATCCATCTGGCAACCTTGAATTCCGAATGTGAATAAACCAAAACAAAACAACAAAATGGCTTCGTAAAAGGATGCAGTGCATGTTAATGGTGCAAATCGAGGACGAACACGTGCAATATCATCGATGCATCAAGGACAGATACCAAATCGAGGACTCCTCGGTTTGTTGGAAAACGTGTACAAAACCAATGAGAGCTGTTGCGAAACAGTTTAGGCATAAACAAAGGAAAAGCGAAGAGGAACAATAGAAAATCCTCCATTTACACCAGTGTCTGATTGGGTTTTATTTTTTTGCTGTATACATTCTCACGTTACACAACTTACTTCTATGCCAATTTATAAAAATCTGTGCGTCCAAAATTGCTAAAGCTTTATTTATAAAAGTGAATAATACCCGAGTCCTCACATTCTACTATTTGCGTTTTGCAGCTGCATACCTCATATTGCATTAGTTAACAAGGGTCCATTTAAAGTTAGTTTCTAGTCACGCTGTTTTGTATGATAACAATGCTGATTTTGTTCTTATCAATACCATGACAATTCAAGTGTCATCTTTGTTACAAATCTGTAAAAGCCTTGCTTCTTCTTTCAACTTTGGATTCTAGACTGATATATTATAGTTTACAAAGTAATTTTCGATGTTATATACATTTCTTTCTTTTTTGTGAAGTTTGAATACAAGTTAATACCAAAGTAGCGACTCTCAACATTTTGAACTCAGAGTGTGTTTGTTTGATTAAAATTATTTTTTAGATTGTTTGATGTAATTTTTGTTAGAATTTCTACATGGTAATAGATTATAATGCGACTTCAAAATAATTCAGTCTTTGTAAATCAGTGACTTGATCAAAGTTAGTTATTGTACAAGTACGATTAAACTTTTTTTTCTTAAAGTTGCTAAATGAAAGCTGTTCTCGTGAACAACAAAACTGTTGGTGAACACAAAACTGTGTGCTAATTTGAATTTGTTGTTAGCTTTTTCAAATAGACCTACACACACTGTGGTATAATTTCTAGTTCAGATTGATAGCTGGTTATGGTTTTTGCCTCTTTACAAATAATTGCTGATCTAAATGGTATTGGACTTTGTAACTTCCGTTGCAGATGATGTTGGGATAATGCTAGATGTTTACAAGTTTTGTTTGGGTGGTTTGATTCTGTCGATCTTGTAGCTTGGATCCTGTCCCTCAAGCCAGTACGTCAGGATTTCACCTTTGCCCTGAAAAAAATAAAGAGGCACAGGTCAGAGAATGATTGAAACAGTTATCTCTTGTTTCCTTTGAAATATGATGGAATTGATAATTTGCATCAGTGAAAACTAAAGGTAAGGTAGATCATTTGTCATTTGTGGATTTTTGTTTGTTTGAAGCAACAAAAGTGCTCAATATATCTAAAGACAGTTGCGTAACAACTTGATGAAGATTTAGCTCTGTGAATGCTGTGTATTCAGTGGAAACAGTATTCTAGGGTCTCGATTCCAATTCAAAAGTTGCAGAGTCATACTTTGAATTGTGCCCAAAATCAGCATCCGAGACACGTTCTCATTCAGCTGATTGCAGCTACAGTACCCAATGTCACGCACTGAACCAATGAATGATATGTATGCGCGCATGTGTTTGTCGTGTCAATGCTTGTGCACACCCATTCACGGATTCACCCAATTACAAACCAACTACTAACGGAAATTTCCACAAATGTGTCCCTTGACGTATCTTTGGAAATGACCTTCTTTTATTGTGTTCTTCACAATGACAGCATGTAATGCCAGAAAGAATAATTTTACAGGCAGTCCGACCAGCTGTACTAAGGGTTGCTTTTCTATTTTTATTTTTGCTGTAATGTTCCTACTTGGGTCTCGATCATTTTGTGGCTAGACTCCGATGTTCTTTAAAAAATGGGCTGTTCTTGTGTCAGAGATGCCAACAATATATCAATAAAAAGCCTGAAACACTACTAAAAACCTGACACTACCCTTACGCCTTTCACAAGTCTGTTCTCTGGATGTTTCAGACCAAATCCAGCACTTTCAATTTTGTCACATTTAAAAAAAACCCAGAATTCAGGTTAAAACCTTAAAAGTGGCATCTCTGTTGTGTCCAGGATTTAAGCCAAGCCACCTTACCCCTACCATGCGCTATTTTTTCTACTACAACCAGTAACAGTCACTTCAATAGTACACATGAATGAAACGTAGGGTATATATTTCCTGATTTTTAGCTTTATATCGTGGATACTTTAATACATCCTCGTTTGCAATTCATATTTGTGACCTTCCTTTTTCCATTTTCATATCTTTCAAAATATAAAATCGTATTTGTAGGCATCTTAACATGTATACATGTATACATGCATCAGGAGTTATAAAAACACATGCAGTGTTGATATTTGTGCAATGTCCATTTTGTGCTTCCGTAGACAGAGTTGCCTGTTTGAACTGTGAACTTGAATCAATGGCATTTTCAGTGCTTGTTCGTATGTGCGTATGTGGGCCTATATTGAACTTGAATAAAGATCATGATCGTAGTGTTCCTTTGTTATGGTACTGTGTGACACAAATAGCGACTGGTTTTTCTTGTGTTGGGTAAAGGAATGTAGCTGTTGTTGCACCATTCATCTCATGAGGATAAAGTATAGGCCTGACATGTACACATTATAAGCCTAAGCGCTTGCAACTTACAAGTTGATGGTAGTTTTGCCATACTTTTTTTACATTTGGCGGAAGTATTATGTTTGTGGTGGAAAACTTCAGCTAACTGTTGATCCAGTTTAAGTAGGTGAGTTCATTACATACAGCATTTTGGCTGGATTTTGCACAAGTCTTTTCTTTTCGTGCGTTCGCTTTGTTTTTAAACATGTTAAATATAGCCTATAGACCTACCAGGAAAATTATGCATGAGATTTGAAGGAATGTTTAGCATTTCAGTAAATGTGATGAGTGAGTAGGTGGTGTTCCTTCCCACCAACGTTTGAAATAAACATGATGCTTTTAGAGAAAAAACATATTGAATTTTCTTTTCTGAATCGAAGTCAGAAATCTAAGTCTATATCTTTGGTCTTGTTTTACATTAGGGCCTATACTCCCATTTTATTATTTCTAACTCCCAATGAGTAAGCATGCAGTCAATGTATACAAATGAATCTCCTGTTACATTTAGATTTCCAGGCTGGTACGGTGTGCGGTAAAAGAAATGGGGGCATAGAGGTGTGCACTTACGGGCAGTAAAGGAACCGGGTACCCTATTGAAAAAAATATGGGTACCTGGGTACCCGTTAAAGAAATCCAAGCCAAAAATTCAAATCTGGGAAGTTGTTGTTCAGATTGTTCATAAAGGTCTGCATGATAATACTACCACATTGGTGCGGCAATACAGATAGATAGGGTGTATACAGTGAGCTCTTTAGCTATGTGGTGAAAACTGCAACTTTCACAAGCATCATAAAACATAAAATTAGTTTTTGTTTTCCATAAATCCGGTTTTTCATTTTGAAATTTTCCGACTGACATTCAAAACATTTCTTTTTCATTGACTGAGAAGTTAAGTAATTTGCAAAGTTGGTTACGGGAACTCGATTCCATGATCTGGAAACGGTTCCTGACATTAACGGTCGGATACTCGGGTACCCGGTTCTGATGCACAGCCCTATGGGGCAATCACCTGTTTGTTATAATTTTGAATATTTTTCAAACACACAGGTTCGTTCTGTTTTGATTAGGTCACATTTGAAATATGGCGGAGGCTGCAGCCAAAACTGTCTTGGACAAGATCAGCCAGGGGCATCTGGAATGTCCGATCTGTTGCTGTCTTTTCAAGGATCCCAAGATGTTGGACTGTCTGCACAGCTTCTGCCTGAACTGTCTGGAAGAGATGATGAGCAAACAGAAGCCAAAGGCAAAGAAGATAACATGTCCAGTCTGCAGGAGAGAGACACAAGTTCCTGATGGAGGATTGCAGAGTCTTTCTTCGTCTTTCTTTCTTAGTTCTCTTGTCGATGAGGTAAAACAACAGGAAGCGGCATTAGGAGAAGCATCAGCACCTACCGCCACATGTGACTGTGGAGAAGGCAAGGAGGCCATGTGGAGGTGTCTTGATTGTAGTGATAACCTCTGCCAGAAATGCCGCGAAGCTCATGAGAGGGTCAAGTCCACCAAAGACCATCAAATCATCTCGTTGGGAGATTGGCACAAATCAAAGATGCCTCCAGCAGAACATAGCAAACCTAGCAAACCCATCACGCGAATGTGTACGATCCACAACGACCATCCTTTGTATTTCTACTGTGACACCTGCGACACCTTAATCTGCTCAATGTGTGCCACATTAGATCATCGGTCGGCAGAGCACAATTTGCTAAAGATTGATGACTCTATCAGGTCCTTCCGCACTGAGGTTGATAACATACTGCAGGAGTTCGAGAAGTGCAGGCAGCGCTTCAAATCTACTGAAAAGTCAATCGAACATGCACGAAAAAGATTGCAAAAGAAACTGGCTCAGGCTCGTAGTGACATTGATGCAAAAGCGGAGGCAGAGATCACTAAAATCAGAAACAAAGCAAAGCTTCTCACCGACAAGGTCAACGAAATTGGTCAAGAGAGAGACAGCGAGTACGAAAAGGCGCTCATGCACAACCGTAAACAGATGGAACGTGCAGATCAGACCATCGCGGCAGTAAATGACTTGATGAGTCAAGCCGATGATGTCGAGCTTTTGGATCTCAAGCCAAAGGTGATGCACAACTTGGAATTCCAGAAGGAGCTCAAGTGTGAACCGGCGAATCATGGTCCGTCATTCATTGGTGTCAAATGTCAAGACGTTGTGAGTGATGAAGATCTTGGGGAGGTCTGTGTCAGCGAGAAATGGCAGTCAAAGGAAGAGTTTGGCAAAGAAGGTACCGGTGATGGGGAATTTCAATTCGCAGCGCGTGTTGCATGTTTCACAAATGGGGACATCGTAGTAACTGACACAGTTTTGAACAGGCTATCGTTGTTTAGCTCAACTGGAAGGTATAAAACATCGGTTGCTCAGGGAGATGCTGGGCATCAGTTGGAAGCTCCTTGTGGCGTTGCGGTGACCCATGATGATCTGCTTTTTGTCACGGACCAAAAGAAAGTGAAGGTTTTTGACACTGAGCTCCAGTTTGTTCGTGAGTTTACACTTTCGGCTGACGATGCCGATGGGCAATCAGAGAGTGACCTCACTGCTGTTGCTGTTGACAGTCAACGAGTAGCAGTTGCTGACATGGGGCGAAAGGTCATCAGTGTCCACAACCTGGACGGATCGATGATTGCAAGCATCTCAAACAATATGGTCAAAAATTTCTTGACAATAAGCAATTTTGGCCGTTTAGTCTTCACAAACTACGAGGGCCAAAGTTTGCTGTGCGTTAACTTTAAAGGTAAAGAGATGTTCAGGGTCAAGACATTCATGAATGGCAAAGCTGCTCAGCCAACTGGAGTCCTGTGCGATGATGATGAGACCATCTATGTCGCTGTTCATTCTGGCAAAAGGGGAGACTCTGAAGTGCAGCGTTATGATTCAAATGGTGCATTCGTAGCAACAGTAGCTCAAGGGTTGTTCAATCCGTTAGGAATGGCATTCACACCCACTGGCGATGCAGTTTTTGCTGACATATACTCTGTTAAGATTTTTGAGCGGATGTGATTTGCCTGATTATGGCCCTCCGAAAAACTAACCGCTGCACTCCTACGATTTGCCATACAAGGCCCCGCAGAACATGACATGTTGTAGTTGAACCAGGGCTGTTTACATTTGCTACATTCCTGATATTATAATATTTACCCAGATTGTAAAACCTGTTCGAAATTTTCATAACTGGTAACGTTGGTGTGTTTCAGTTAATCTCCCTCAATGTATTTTGGCATGTGCGTTGGCCTGGGTAGGCCTACATCGCGTTATGGGGAAGTTTTTTATTGTTAGGAAAATACCGACCGAGTTGTTGGGACTTTCTGCTGTCCCCACAGCGTTTTCGGTCCTCACAAATATGAGTAGGCCTACATGTATGGTGCACTCTGCAGTAATAAAGTCGGAAAGAGAAATCTAATCATAAACAGTGGAGAAAGAGAAAAAGCATTTCTTGAACCGTAAAACAGTTTTTGCTGACAAAATATTTTTAGATTGAAGGGACCGCTACTTCTTAACATTCGACATTCAATTCACAAAATTGAAAATGTATAGTCATCACTGTTCGTAAGTCCATAACTTTTATATTAGGTAACATGAAATTTTAGCTCTAAACGCTGTGTATTCAGAGGAAAAACTAATATAGGATCTCAATTTCATTTCAAAAGTTACTGGGTCTTACGGGGTGATTCAAAAAAAAAAAAAAAATTGTAAGCCACCCAAAAAAGCCAAATCCTGGGTGCGCCACTGCCTATTTGTAGGCATTTTAACAGTTATACTCAATTTTATTATTAAATGATCAAATTATTTATAAACAGCAAAATTTGCAATGGATCTTCTCCTGTGGTTATATTATACGTGTTGTACAAAATGAAAGCCAACTCCTTGCAAACATCTCACTGTGAATGCATTACATACTGTACTTTCCTATGGAGAACTTTGTACATGAAACCCCATAGAATTGGTGACAAAAGTGGGATCCTGTAAAAAGGAGAATAGCCAATCAATAGCCACAAATTTTATCCAATTGCTGGGAAGGCTTGGAGAGGCAACCAGCCAATAAGAGATCTTGTTCTGTGACACTTGGCAAGGCCTGGCTATGGGCCAATGAGAAGTAGGGTTGGTTCTTTACATCCTAGAAGTAGAAAGTTTAGGCGGGAAGGAAAAATTGCTGGGCAGTCACTTTTGTCTCGGCCTCTGAAGAAACAATTTGTATAGTCAATTTTACTTCACAAATTTTAATTCTACTACTCATTAAGTTACTTACATAATGTTGCACACTGTGCTTTGTCTAACCTAAGTATTATTTACAAAATCGTAATGGCAGGAATAAAAAATCATTAATGAACCATGGGGTGTTTTATCCGCTTCAAAAAATGCCACACGCGCAGGGCCTTTTGTGGGTGCCCAAAAACTGAAGAGCTATGGTCTCCGAGTCAAATGGTGCTTGGATGAGCTATTGGTGCTCTGGGCCTTTGTGGTGCCCAAAATTTGGAAATTATTAATAACAAGTCGGGTGAGTTTACAAACACAAATGCCCCGCAACGGTGACAGTTCCCATGACATAACACCACTCTTTTAACATCAACTTACATGTACCTTGGTCACATGGAACATTCATTGACAGCATTAGTGTCTTCTGTAGGTTTTATTTAGCCACTGTGAACTTGACCCTTGACCTTTTGGCCCCAAATTCAATAGGCTTCTTAGGATTACCAAGATCAATCCACAAACCAAATTTGAAGTTCACATGTTAATTATGTCTCAAGTTATCGCGCTGACAAGATTTCTATTGTTTTAGCCACTGTGAACTTGACCCTGGACCTTTTGGCCCCAAATGCAATAGTCTTCTTAGGATTGCCAAGAACAATCCACAAACCAAATTTGAAGTTCACATGTTAATTATGTCTCAAGTTATCGCGCTGACAAGATTTCTATTGTTTTAGCCACTGTGAACTTGACCTTAGGCCTTTTGGCCCCAAATGCAAAAGGCTTCTTAGGATTGCCAAAAACAATCCACAAACCAAATTTGAAGTTCACATGTAAAGTATTTCTCAAGTTATCGCGCTGACAAGATTTCTATTGTTTTAGCCACTGTGAACTTGACCTTAGGCCTTTTGGCCCCAAATGCAAAAGGCTTCTTAGGATTACCAAGAACAATCCACAAACCAAATTTGAAGTTCATATGTTAAGTATTTCTCAAGTTATCGCGCTGACAAGATTTCTATTATTTTAGCCACTGTGAACTTGACCTTTGGCCCCAAATGCAAAAGGCTTCTTAGGATTACCAAGAACAATCCACAAACCAAATTTGAAGTTCATATGTTAGGTATTTCTCAAGTTATCGCGCTGACAAGATTTCTATTGTTTTAGCCACTGTGAACTTGACCTTTGGCCTTTTGGCCCCAAATGCAAAAGGCTTCTTAGGATTACCAAGAAAAATCCACAAACCAAATTTGAAGTTCATATGTTAAGTATTTCTCAAGTTATCGCGCTGACAAGATTTGTCCGGACACACACACTCACCCACCCACCCACACACCCACCCACCCACGGAAGGACGAGGCGGAAACAGTATGCCCCTTCGGCTTCGCCGCGGGGCATAATAATAATGTGCTGCATGCATTATGGGTCGGCTGCCAAGATTTCAGTACCCGACATTTTTTTAATAAAAACCTTCTGGCTGAGGCGTGCACACACAAAGTTTTCTGTGTTGCTTGTGTTTTTTTATTTGTCTGCTTATAAGGCGAAGTAAAAAAAAAACATGTTTAGCGTCCCCGCCCGCTTCCTTTTTAGAGGCCGCCTCTTTTTTTTTTTTTTTTAAAAGACAAAAATTGAAAATTTTTAACGATCTCTGACGAAATAAATCGTATTTTTAGACTTTTCTACCGTGTATAAAGCTGTGGAAATAGTCAATGAGTCCAAGTGGCGGCCATTTTGAAAAAAGCTGGTAACCATCTTGAAAAATAGCCCGGCCGCGTTGTCTTGAAAAATGTGTCGGGCGGCCATTTTGAAAAGAAAAAAAAAAAAAAAAAAGGGCCTCCTCCTTCCTTTTTGTCAAAGAGGCAGGACGCTACACATGTTTTTTTTTTATTTTGCCTAAATGTATTAAAAGGAGTTATACCAATGCATGCAGTGGTGATATTTGTGCAATGTCCGTTTTGTGCTTCAGTGAGCAGAGGTAGGTTTGAACTGTAACCAAGAATCAATAGCTTTTACAGCATTGTTCACATGTAGGCGTGTATTGAACTTGAATAAAGATCATAGTACTGTGTGACAAAAATAGCGACTGGTTTTCCAGTATTGAGTAAGGGACCGTTCACAATTATCAACATTTTCACGAGCGTACAAACCGTACGCTGGGTGGGGGGGGGGGGGGGGGGAGGGGGTTAATGGCAGCCGTACGTTTTTTTTTAAAATGTCGATATCTTTTTTTGCCCGTTTATGCCCGCCTAACGTTTTTTTTTTAATGTCGATCTGTTTTCTCGCCCGTCGCCACAGCGACAGCCGCAACCGATGCCGATCGAGCACTTGCCGAGCCGGTCGCGCCTCGCGCCAGGCCCCGCATTGCATCCCATGAACGTATTGTGTACAAACTGCGCGGCATTGTCCTACACACGTACATGAAAATGTACTGTATGTACATGTACATGTACATGTACATGTAAAATCCGTATCCACTGCTTGTGTTTAAAGGCCGGTGTCACATGTCATGGCCAAAAACTTGATCTACAAAAGTTACAAAAACCCTTTAATTCACATGCAAGTGTCTATATATAGACTTGTGTGAAAAAAAAAATCAACATTTTTTTTGTACATTTTAAGGGGGGGGGGGGTCTTGAAAAAGTGTACTCTTTGTACACTTGTGAAAATGTTGATAATTGAGAACGGCCCCTAAAGGAGTGAAGCTGTTGTTGCACCATTCATTGCTTGAGGAAGTAGGCCTGACGTGTACACGTACAAACCTAAGGCTACAAGTTGAGGTAGGTTTGAACTGTAACCAAGAATCAATAGCTTTTACAGCATTGTTCACATGTAGGTGTGTATTGAACTTGAATAAAGATCATAGTACTGTGTGACAAAAATAGCAACTGGTTTTTGCAGTGTTGAGTAAAGTTGTGAGCTGTTGTTGCACCATTCATTGCTTGAGGAAGTAGGCCTGACATGTACACGTACAAACCTAAGGCTTACAACTTACAAGTTGATGGTAGTTTTGCCATACTATTTTTTTTACATTGGGCAGAAGTTAAGTATTAAGTTTGTGGTGGAAAACTTCAGCTAACTTTTGATCCAGTTAAGTAGGTGAGTTCATTATACGTACAGCATTTTGACTGGATTTTACATGAGTCTTTGGTTTTCATGCGTTTCGCTTAGTTTTTGAACATGTTAAGTATAGCGTACAGGCCAATCAGGAAAATAATGCATGAGATTCGCACAAATGTTTAGCGTTCCTTCCCACCACCGTTTGTTTTAACATGATGCTTTTGAGAGAAAAAAAACACCGAATTCTCTTTTCTGAATTGAAATCTGAAATCTGAGTCTATATATATGTCATTGGTCCTTTTTACATTAAGGCCTACTCCCATCTTGTTATTTCTGCATAAAGATATCGGCCATATATCCGAGTACTGAAGAACAGTAAACGGCCGCTGTTTATTTGTAACTCCCAATGAGTTAGCATGCAGTCAATAATAGTCGGTGTCAATACAAACGTATCCCAGGCTGGTGTGTCGTAAAAGAGATGGGTTGGGGCATAGGGGTGTGCACTTATGGGTAGTACAGTAACTGGGTACCCTAGTTGAAAAAAATATGGGTACCCATTTACATAAAAATATTGGTACCTGGGTACCTGTTAAAGAAACCCAAGCCAAAAAATTCAAATCTGGGAAGTTGCTGTTCAGATTGTTCATAAAGGTCCGCATGATAATACTACCACATCGGTGCAGCAATACGGCTAGATAGGGTGTATACAGTGAGCTCTTTAGCTATGTGGTGAAAACTGCAACTTTCGCAAGCATCATAAAATGTGAAATTGGATTTGAATGCAATGTATCCTTTTTTTCATTTTGAAATTTTCCCACTGACGTTCGAAATTTTCTTTTTCATTGACTGAGAAGTTACTAAGTAATTGCAAAGTTGGTTACGGGTACTCGATTCCATGATCTGGAACCGGTTCCTGAAATTAACGGTCGGGTACTCAGGAACCCAGTTCCGATGCACAGCCGTAAGGACAATCACCTGTTTGTTATAATTTTGAACTGTTTCAGAAACGGAGGTTTGTTCTGTTTTGATTAGATCACATTTGAGATATGGCGGAGGCTGCAGCCAAAACTGTCTTGGACAAGATCAGCCAGGGGCATCTGGAATGTCCGATCTGCTGCTGTCTTTTCAAGGATCCCAAGTTGCTAGACTGTCTGCACAGCTTCTGCCTGAAGTGTCTGGAAGAGATGATGAGCAGACAGAAGCCAGGGGCAGAGAAGATAACATGTCCAGTCTGCAGGAGAGAGATGCAAGTTCCTGATGGAGGATTGCAGAGTCTAGCTTCATCTTTCTTTCTTAGTTCTCTTGTCGATGAGGTCAAACAACAGGAGGCGGTACTAGGAGAAGCATCGGCACCTACCGCCACATGTGACTGTGGAGAAGGCAAGGAGGCCACTTGGAGGTGTCTTGATTGCAGTGATAACTTCTGCCAAGAATGTTGGAAAGCCCATGGGAG